TGTTTGTTCTCACCTCACCTCACCTCACCTCACCTCACCTCACCTCACCTCACCTCACCTCACCTCACCTCACCTCACCTCACCTCACCTCACCTCATGTTCATGTTCCAAGTTTTGATTTTCTTGTTTTGTTAGCTTGCCACCTCGTTGGCTTTTTTCTTTATTAAAGTCTTTTTAATTACTTTAAGTTTGGTCTGCCTGCCTGCATTTTGGGTTCTCCTCACCACCAAGTCGTGACAAACTGGTGCGCACAAAAAATATGTGGTGCGCACAAAATAACTGGTGCACATGAGATAGTATTTTTTATCTATTGTGTTTTTAGGGGCTCAGTATAAAACAACCTGGTTTGTTTCAAATTTTACATAATATTTTTTCACATGGTTTTAACAGTGTTTGGTCAGGTCTGATTGGCAAAAATCTATAATTAAATCAATTTCAAAGTCTCAAATTGCTGATCCTCATGTACCTATGAACTATAGGGACATTAGTCTACTTAGTTGTGTTTATAAACTTTACTCAAGTGTTCTCAATAAAATGTTGGTTAAGAATTTATAATCTTGTAATTTAGCATAACAGAATGGGTTTAGACAGAAAAGAGCCTGTACAGATCCCATATATTCTTTAATCAAAATATTTAATGCTAGGAAACAAGAAGGAAAGTCCACTTTTGTGTGTTTTATCAATTTCCGAAAAGCTTTTGATTGTGTTAACCAAGAATTGTTATGTTTTCAGTAATTAAAAACAGGAATTGATGGACAAATAATTAATAATTCTATAAAATCTGTATATCAACATTCAGAATCCTGTGTTCAGGTAAATGATTACAGAACAGCTGGTTTTTAACATCATATGTTAAACAAGATGTTCTGTCTCCTATTCTCTTCACATTATGGTATGGTGGTTAAAGAGGCTGATGTGGGAGCGAGAGTAGGTGATATAAATGTCTGTATATTACTGTATGCAGATGATATTGTTATTGCTAAAAATGAACCTGATCTTCAGAAACTGTTAACTATTATTTATGACTGGTGTAACAAAATGAGGTTAAGGAAAAATTGTGATAAAACTGAAGTTATTCATTTCAGAAAGCAGAGTCCTGCATTGACAACATTTATGTTTTGTTATGGGCCTACTATTCAAAAAATATTAATATTTGGGACTTATTGTGGATGAATATTTAACAATTAAAAAAGGAATAAAAGTTCAGTCAGACTCAGGTAGAACACCAGGTGCAGTTATAAATAAAGTTATATAATGCTGTGACCTGGGTTATAAGGCATTTACTGAGTTGTACAGATCTTGTGTTTGTCCAGTATTAGATTACAGAGCAGGAGTCTGGGGTTACTGTCAACAACCTTACAGTGAAAAAGTACAGTGTAGAGCCTTGTGTTATTTCTTAAAAATACTCGTACACTGGCCTTTATGGACATATGGGATGGGAACCATGTGAAGTTAGATATATTGGAGATGTGGTCAGATTGCTGAACAAGTTCATTAACATGTCAGATCATAGATTAACAAGGCACATTTTTATTGGGATTTGTTAAATAGGTGGACCAGACAAATTGTGAAAATATTTGATGAGGTGGATTTTCAGTACATTTATAGAAAGTTATAAGAGCTCCTGTTTATTTACATTTATAGAAAGAAATTAAGATGTAATATTGAACAGATTAAACAGTTTTATTTTGAAGCTTATAAATGAGCATTTGATATTTTATGTAAACCAAAATTACAAAACTATATTTTATAGTTTGTGTCTTGTAAGCCTGTGTGGGCTGGGCACCTGCTGTGGTACATAACACAAATATAATAAAATTATTTACTTACCATTTTACGTTTTTAACCAACAAAGTGAGGTCATTTTTGGGAAGTGAGGACATTTTCCCGGTCCTCACTGTATTTGCAGGTCTGCTGCGCTCTACTAGGTTGGTTTAGAGGTATGGTGTAAATTACGTTTTGGTTAAGATTAGGGTTAGGGAAAATGTCTGAGTTAGGCATAAATGCAGTTACAAAAATGAATGGAAGTCAATACAGTCACCAGTTTGATGCAAGCACGAGGATCTCTCTCTCTCTCTCTCTCTGTGTGTGTGTGTGTGTGTGTGTGTGTGTGTGTGTGTG